TTTTCACATAAGCTCAATCCCACATCAAAGTGGACAGTCCAGTGTTATCTGCAATTTCTGAACATTTCAAGGAGCTTACTGTATTCGCTTTCTGTTGCTGTTGTAACAAGTATCCCCAAACGTCATGGTAGTAGGAAGAAAAAAGGAAAAGTCTCCACTAAACAACACAAATTTAACCTTGTAGGTTTCTTGAATGCAGAAGCCTGCAGAAGTCATAGTATTGGCAGGGCTGTTTCTGAAGGCCTCAGGGGAATCTGTATCTTTGACTTTTCTGGCTTCCAGAGGCCACCTGCATCTCTTGGCCTGTGACAGATTTTCTCTCTCTAAAGGTCAGCATGGTTGTGTGTCTCTGACTCTGATTCTGTGGTCACATCTCCTCTCCTCTCTCCCCTCTTTTGCCTCCCTCTTCCTCCTTTAACCACCCTGGTGATCACACTGGGCCCACCTCTATAATCCAGCTCGTCTCTCTTAGAGTTGGCTGGTTAGCAAACTTAACTGCTTCTGCAACAATAGGCCCCCTTTGCCAGGGAACCTGACCTCTTCATATATTCTGGGGATTAGGACATAGACATCTTGGGGGGGGAATCATTATTCTGCCTACCACACTAACGTTTTTAAGATAATTTCTGGCTTTGAGTTTCTGTTCTCATGAAACTCTTGATCTCTCTTCTGTCTTGCCTTCCACACCAGCATTCTGCTTCTGGCCAACATAACTGCAGAGCTGACCCCTCTCAGTGGTGTCCCCCAAAACCACTTACACAAGCAGGCCTTACTGTTTTTTGAAGCATGGAGGAGAAACTCAAACAACTTGAATTTTGAAATAAAAAACCTGCATCATTTTAAAATCTTCCGTACCACTATAAAAAATTATTTTTTTAAATTTGTTTTTTAATTTTTAAACTATTTTAAACTTTGTTAATTTTTTTAAACTTTATTTTTTTTCTTATCATCCTTCATTGTAGGCTCCAGAAACTTGCTATTCTGCCCACCACATCCAGGTTCCCTTTCATTGTTTCTCCTCCCTTTCCTAACATTCCTTCTCTCTCCCTTATTACCAAATTTCTGTCCATTCTCTTTATAGGGCAGTTAAATTATTCTTTCTTTCGTTCTTTCGTTCTTTCGTTCTTTCTTTCTTTCTTTCTTTCTTTCTTTCTTTCTTTCTTTCTTTCTTTCTTTCTTTCTTTCTGTTTTTGCAGAGTGAACAGCTTTGCGTGTCAGTGTGTCCTTCCACATTTCTTCACAAGGGCTTCATCTATCAGTTTCAGTATGGATTACTGGGGTCTGTCTCGAAACAAAGGCATTTCCCTTGTCCCCCAGCCCACCATGCCCCTCAAAAAAAAAAAAAAAGATTCTGATCTTCGCTGTGAAATGAATCTTTTTTTTTCCCTACTGTATAGTGGACAACTCTTACACTGAGCTCAGTCAGATTTTTCCAGAGGAGTAAATGTAGCTCATGTGCAAATAATACTAGTTTTCTCTGTGAAAAGAAATAGATAAGATAGAGAAAATACTTAACACAGATTACTCAAAAGCACTTTCTGAAGGAAATAGGCAAATTATTTAACACTGAATTTTGTTGAATCTGCTTATCAGTGAGCTATTTTTACCAATCAAGGAGAAGGACATATTTCCTAAATGGGTACTGAGCAATTCATGTGAAATGAAACTTGCTCATATGAACTAGTTTAAAGTAAAGGGTGCACTATAGTATCTGTGGTCTGTTTATAACTTCGCTTAAGTAAACACATTGTTGTAGGTTCCAGTGAGCTGAACTTTACCTCCATGTATTTCTACTATGGGCTAAAATATTTAGGGAATATGTTTTGAATTATGTTTCCCTTGTTTGAAAACCAGGAATGCTGAATGGTAGCCAAGTTTGAGGGTGGCTTGTGTTTTCCTCACTGCCTCTTCTCTTTGTATAAGGTGCCAGTTTCCTTCTTAAATTTTCATATAAAATCCTAACATACCAAATATCTATCAATTACTCTTGCTGCACCAAAACTATACCCATCCTCAAAAATACATAGGAAGGGAAAAGAAAACTTATCAAACTTAGCGACTATTTTCATGCTATTTAAATATGTCTAAAGGAACATAATGAAATGAATTTCACCATAACTTATCTGCCTCCACCCCCCAATCCCATGTGGGGTTCTTGAATAGGATTCTGGGAGCAAATGAAGAAGGACAGTGATGCCGTGATCCAGGCACCCTCTGGGGTCTCTCCAGCACTTGGATCAGCACCT